CAGCTCTGTAATTATTAGGATCTCTTGGATGAAAGAAGTACCAATAAAGGTGTTAAGTTTTGTATGGAGAGCTCCAATGAATAAAATCCCATCTGCATCGGAGCTAAGGAAAAGAGAGGTGAATATCGGTATGGATAGATGCGTTTTGTTCAACAAAGAGGAGGAAACCACAGATCATGTGTTGTGTTATTGCAACTTCGCGAAAATTATGTGGGAGCAGGTTCTCAGGTGGTGTGGTGTTCAGCCTTTACGATGTCCTAATTCTGCTCGAGAGGTTATAAACTTCGCATCTCAATGGGGAAATTACCCTAAGAAAATGACCATACTAACTGGGATTTGTTATGGTACGCTATGGGGAATATGGAAGGTTTGTAATGATCTCGTGTTCAACAGGAGAAGAATCCCTCCATTGGTGGTTATGGATCTTGTTAAATCGATGGTTTTTTGTGGTTTAAATTAGGGGTGTGCAATAAACCGCACAAACCGCATAAACCGCCCGCACCACACCAAACCGCACCGCATAACGCGGTTTAAAACACTCGTGGTGCGGTTTGCGGTTTGTATATTTGTTAAACCGCATTATGCGGTGCGGTTTGTGGTTTAAGATTACAAAGTTGCGGTTTAAACTGCACCGCATTGATAAAATCAATTAATGATTTTATATATATATATATATATATATATATATATATATATATATATATATATATATATATATATATATATATATATATATATATATATATATTCAAAAATATTTTGACATGTCCTAAATTAGTGACATTATCTTAAGTTTTTAAAATGTAATCGTAATTAATCCAAAATTTAATGCAGTTACCATAGTTTTTTGTCTCAAATTCATTTTCAACTAAGATTCAGTGACCATTATTTTATGGTCACTATGTTTTCATAACTTATGTATATTCATAAGTAGTTAACGACCACAATTATTTGACCACCAAATTTCTTAATGACCACTTAGTGAGCCGTTAGCGATGACAATGATAGTATTATCATTAAATTTAAAGTAAATAATTAGTCAAACCGCATGTAAACCGTATAAACCGACCGCACCAAACCGCACCGCATAATGCGGTTTTGAACGTTTGCAGTGCGGTTTGCGGTTTCTAAATAACTCAAACCGTATATGCGGTGCGGTTTGCGGTTTTGGCTCTAAACCGCATCAAACCGCACCGCGCACACCCCTAGTTTAAATACAAGGGTAAATCGGTTAAAATTAGGTGGTTGGATTGAAACATTTGTCCATTCCATTGTCTAGTTATTATCTTCTCCTTGTACTTTCTTTTGCTTCTATCTAGTTTTATGCTTACAGAAGCTTTTTGTTATATATATTATTGGCCAGTTCTAAAAAAAAAAAAAAGTCAATAATATTTTTGGCTAAATTAGTGGTTTTCTATTATAATAATCATATTCAACGTTTTTAATATAAAAAATATTAAAAGAAAAACAACTACAAATAATGATAACGAACCATACTTGACCCAATTCTTTCTGATGTGGATAGAAACTTGGTCGTTAATAGACACGTCGGGTCCGGATCCTTAATTGCAAAGGAAGAGCCAACTAGGAAACTCAATCCAAATCCATCGATCCACAACTGTCGGTAGCCACTTTTCGAAAATAAGCACGAGTAACGATGGGGTTTAAAAGGAAATGGTTGACTTTTTGAAAGAGAGAAAAGTCAAAACAAGTTGTATTAGGAGACATCATTTCCAATTAAACATCACTAGTATCATTACTACTCAAAAATTGCCCATAACTAGAAGAAAAAAAATCTAATACATCACCAAAGTTATCTTTTACAAACTTAGATACTTTTTGCCTTGGGATATTTCCAATTTTGGCTCTAAAATTAAAATCCATTGGTTGATTTTGTTGTATGCAAACAAAATTTAGAATTAGTTTTGTCATCCAGAGAAAGGGCTAGCGGCACAGCTTGTTGCTCGTTTGCCTTCCATCGATATGTATTGACCTATATTACTCCATTTATGTTATATATATATATATATATATATATATATATATATATATATATATATATATGAGAAATCTCCAGAAAAGTCCTTAAATTTTAGTCCAATTTATAATGAAGTCTCAAACTAAATTTCGTTTACAGAAAAACACAGAATACCGGCTAAAACTTCGAAAAAACCCTTTTTGGCCGGTTTCACAGATTTAGCCGGTATTCTGTCATTTTTCGTTAATTTCCTCAAAATTTTGAGACTTTTTCGGAAATTACATGATAACCAAAATATTGAGACTTTTTTGAAAATTACCATGGAATTAATGGATATTATTATTAACAAATCATTTATAAACATAACAAATATTTTTATTTTAAAAAAGGGAATACACTTGTTGCTAATTTCTATGAATAAATTGGTGGTCTAAGTACTCCTTTATTGCTTATTGACCACATCAAACTCTTTACGATGCTCCGATGCATCGTTGTGGGTATGATGGTGAGACGTATTTAGTGAGTGTTCCTCTAATGTTGGTGTTCCTCTGATGTTGTTTAACCTAACTACCACCCAACATCCATTCCTCACATGGTAACAACCATAGGCTAACACACATCTGTTAAATGTGAGAAAGTTAATCGTGAATGATAGTTTATATGGAAACAAGTAAAGGGTGATTATCTAGTTAAATTGTCATTCAAAGTTTACTTTTCACTATGTGTGTAATTTGATGGTTGTTATCGACTAGTGTATGGAGGTTAAGTAGTTGTAACGCCTGGTTCCTGGTATGTATTTTAACTTATTAATTATGCAATTTAATAGATCAACTCGACGAGTTGGTAGCCGCAACTCGTCGTGTTGAAAAGTTTTGGACCGCGTGTTTTAAGTGACCAACTCGACGAGTTGGGAGGCCTCAACTCGACGAGTTTGGGTGTCTCGATTCTGTTGAAAAAGGAAGAACTCGACGATTTAAGGAAAAACTCGACGAGTTGATTCGAAATATCGTTTATTTAGTATTTCTAAAATGAAATTTTTGGGACCGTATTTTGAGTATGTTACAGTGGTATTTAGATTAAAGAACATAATGATAGATCTATATGTTCAAGAATCATTGTGTGATGATAATCTCTAATAACATGTGATCCTATAACGTCACACCTAATAGCAAGTAGACACTTATTGATTGTGTATTAATAAATATTATCAACTCTTATTTAACTGAAGAAACATACACAGTACATTTCACTGTCACACCCACAACGATACATAGGAGAAACATAGGGAGTTGGAAGTGGTCAGCAAACATTAAAGAAGTATCTAGTCGACCATTGTATTCTTAGAAATTAGAAACAAATGTATTTCCTTTGTTTATAAAAAAAAATATTTGTTATGTTTAAAAATGATTTGTTAATAATAATATCCAATAATTTCATATTAATTTTCAGAAAAGTCCCAATATTTTGGTTATCGAGTTATTTTCAAAAAAGTCCTAATATTTTGAGCAAACAAACGAAAAATGACAGAATATCGGCAAAATCTACGAAACTGGTCAAAAAGGGTTTTTCGAAGTTTTAGCCGGTATTTTGTGCTTTTCTATAAACAAAATTTAGTTTGAGACTTTTTCATAAATTAGACTAAAATTTTAGGAATTTTCTGGAGATATATATATATATATATATATATAATATATATATATATATATATATATATATATATATATATATATATATATGGGGTGAGATCGGTTGAGAGCTCATAGTTTCTCGAGAACCCGAGAACTAAAAGTGAAACCTTAGATCAAAATTAAATCATTAAGAGCATGATCATCATCTTACCAGTCAAAAATTTAGAAGAAGCCTATATGTAGATTAGAACCATAACATGAAAAGAATTTGTACATTTGTTGTCTAAATATCTCTCATATCATGAATAAAGATTTCAATCATACCAAAAATTTTGTATCTTTTAAAGTTCCTCAAGACAGTTTTATATATAAGACTGTTATGTAGTGCTAATGCATGTATTTTCATAAGGCTAGAATGGACCTTTAGTGCCTCAAATGCTAAAGTTTTACATTCATCATAATGTTTTTTGACGATACTACTCATATGTAGAGAAAATATTTATTAATGTCTATGTCATACATCTTACTAGTATTTTTTCCTTCTTGCAAACATCCTTTTTTTTTTCTTAAAACTTGGATCATATGTGGATCTTGGTTTTAAATTACTGGATTTATCAATTATTGAATTTAAGGACTCTTTGATAACCTAATGAAATCATTTAGAGGTTATATCTAATCATTCAATGCAATCGATACAATTTCTAAATAATTTCTAAACAAATCAAAAGCCTCTAAACGGTAATAATAATAATAATAATAATAATAATAATAATAATAATAATAATAATAATAATAATAATATAATAATAGCTGTTAAAAGGTTGGAACCATTCGATAGTAACCATCTAAATTGTTCATAATTTGATATCCTTTATAGGTTTTATGCAAATTATACAAAGTATTTTAACCAATTGTTCTTTTGAATTCAAAACTGACTCAAACTGTAGAATTGCAAACATAAGGCACTAAATGAAAAGAATATCAAAATTGAAGGACCTAGAAGAGGATATTCCTTTATAGAGAAAGTCATATCCTTCACGTTTTTGCTGTTTTACATGATCGCCACACTTTATCTGGCACATGCATTTATGACCAAGTTTCGTTGTCCACTTCTTGAGCCTCACAAATTTATTTAAAAAGTCAAACTTCATTTCTCTTTGACCAAATATTATGCTTTACTTTTTCATTAATTTGACTTTTGAATTAAAAAATATTATTCCTTTTTCTCACTCAACCCCCACCCATATATAAAACCATACATTATTCTTCATAACAAATATTCACAAACTAGAAACCTCTACTTTCATTCATTCAAGGTTCAAAAAAGACATTCAGTTATCAATCTTTCTTCTCAAAGCTATTGTGGGTTGTTCTTGAAATTTATCCATTCTATAATGGGAGATCATAAGAATGTCGAAGTCCCTCCATTTTTCGTATGTCCCATCTCTTTAGAACTCATGAAAGACCCTGTAACACTCCCTACAGGGATCACCTATGATCGAGAAAGCATTGAGAAATGGTTATACGCTAAGAAGAACAACACTTGTCCTGTGACAAAACAGGTTCTTTCAGATCTAGATCTTACACCAAATCACACCCTTCGTAGATTGATCCAATCTTGGTGCACCCTTAATCCGTTGTCTGGTGTTGAAAGAGTCTCCACGCCTAGGATTCCGATTTCCAAATCCGAAATTCTTAAACTCCTCAAAGATTTGAAGTATCCCAATCTGCAAATGAAGTCGTTGAAGAGATTGAAAGTGATTGTTTTGGAGAACGAAACAAATAAGAGGTCAATGGAGGCAGTTGGAGCTGTTGATTACCTCGCTCATATCTTAAGCGACCAGAAGAATGTGACGTCATCTTCACCGGCCGACGAAGACTCCGACGTGGAAGGTTTCGAGCTGGTGACGCCGGCTGACGAAGCTCTAGGTATCCTTTACCACATGCATCTGTCTCAAACTGGGCTTCAGGGTTTGTTTGCAGAGACTGGTGATTTCGTTGAGACGTTAACGAGCGTGATGCAACGCGCCGCCAACTATGAGTCACGTACATACGCCGTCATGTTGTTGAAATCGATGTTTGAGGCCACCAGCCAGAATATGCAAGTGACGTCGTCGTTGAAGCCTGAGTTCTTCATGGAGTTGGTCAAGATTTTGAACGATCAGATTTCCCAAAAAGCCACAATAGCGACATTGAAGTTACTCATTAACGTTTGTCTATGGGGGCGGAATAAGATAAGAGCGGCGGAGGCAGCGGCGGTTCCGGCATTAATCGACCTCCTACTAGATTCCTCCGACAAGAGGCTTTCAGAGATGGTATTATTGGCGTTAGACCTGCTATGTCAGTGTGCTGAAGGGAGATCGGAGATGTTGAAACATGGTGCAGGTTTGGCCGTTGTTTCTAAAAAGATATTCAGGATTTCACAGTTGGCCAGCGATAGGGCGGTGAGGATATTGCATTCAGTGGCGAAGTTTTCCGGCAACACCACTGTGGTGACGGAGATGTTGCATCTAGGGGTGGCGGGGAAGCTTTGTTTGGTGCTGCAAGTAGATTGTGGTAGCAAGATGAAGGAGAAAGCTATGGAGATCTTGAAGATGCATGCTAGGGTTTGGAACAATTCTTCTTGTATACCCAGTAATCTACTTATATCATATCCATCATAAAACAAAATTTGAGATTTTAGGTTAGATAATTTGACGACATTTTAAACATTTGATTTAACTGATTGTATACATATATACTTTGAGATTTTAGTAATTTGAAAAGAACAACGTGACTAAAAACACACAATGTAATACTTTATAGAGGTTCAATTTATTCAAGATTTGTGGATCCATAGGAAACAAAAGTAAAGAGTTCATTCGGTTGTAATTTTCATCTGTATTTTCTTAATTATTTCCAGGCCATTAAATAAAGCTATATATAAATTTTACGAGTTTAATTCGTTCTTTCATTCATATTCATATCGTAAAACGAGGCATCTCATTTTCAAAGAAATGATAGTTGATGTGATCTTCAGCATTTCGTTTCTGAAAGCCTTCTGAAAAGCCTGGATTTACCAAAAGGTTTCTAGCCCAGCGGTATCAGGTATTGTCTTCCCTACTTAAGGTTGAGGGTTCAAGTCTCGTCTGAGACATAGATGGATTTAAAAGTAGTTTAGGAATATATTGTATTTGTCGTTAAAAAAAAGTTTGGATTTAATGCCAAAAGCATAAAATCCTTATAAGACCTGTGTGTGGGAAGTTTCCCTCACCTTTGGTCTGCCACGTCATCATTTCCCCTACTTTTCTTTCCATCACCAAAAAACTAGGGCGTGTGTGGGAGGAATCTTACTTTTTTTTTAAATATATTTCATACAAATATTATACTTATTTTGTATAAATTAAAAACCATGAATTTTGATATATTTTTTATAATTTTTTAGTCGGTATATAATTTAATAAAATATTAAAAAAACTAAAAAAAAAAACATTGACCAATCACACGAGGAGAGAGAGTAGGGAATAGACTTCCTTCACTCTTTTCCCTCACCTACGGTATGCTGTTTTAGGGTGGAGGAAGCTTTCCCCCACTCATTTCCCCCAGCACACCGTCCGGCCTAATTATTTGAAGACTTCCAATGTAGGAACTTAATGTTCCATGTTAGGTTAATCGGATTTATAGTGCGGGGGTGATTTGGAAATAAAAAACTTTTTATTTTAAGCATTTGATTTAGATTAGGAAGTTGTGTGCTTGTTTACCAAGCATTATGTATCTGTTAGGGTTAGGACTCTTTTGTTTTCCTTTAAACACATGTAATGTTAATGTTTCCCTATTTTGAATAAGATTAAGCATTAAGCATCATATCGCTTCTCTTCTGTTATTCTGTCCTTTGTTTTTCTTCCTTGTTCATAACAGAGGATTTATCAAGTTTAGTTCAACACTTTGTATCAGAGCGAGGTTAAGATGGTGTCGGTTTGAGAGTCGACTTTCGAAGGGGAGGAACCCCCGGGTGCGGGGTTGCCATCACAGCGGAAGCGAGGTGTTTGGTAGCGCTTTTTTCTACGGGGGAGTAGCAAACTGAAGGTTTAATCGCACAAGAAGGTTTGGGACAGCAGGAGTTGTTTCGAGACTGTTTTACAGTAGAAGACGGAGACGGTAAATTGTTTTCGGGTTGACCGTTGTCGTGGGGAGACGGGCAGCACCGTTCGGGACGAAGGGGGTGACCGGTGATGAACATAGGCGGTATGTAGCTATTAGTTACGATCAAAGAATGGTTTATTTCGAGTCGTTTTCAGTAACGGGTGATGATGTCGAGATTTTGCAGTTCTTGATTGGGTTGTTCATGATAAGGGGATAATGGTGTAGGTTCGTGAAAAGCAGGTAAAAAGGATCCATCAAAGCAGGTTGCTTTGGATTTAGTTCATTTGGAAAACGGTGAAGCGGTTGGCTTTGTTTTCTTGGTAGGTGGAGATGCCTCTTTGAAAAAAGGTGATTGAAACAAAGGAAGAGATTGGAGAAATACACTGTGTGAAAATTATGGCGTTGAAGTTCAAATCGGGTGGCTTTTGTTGTGGCCAAGGAGGAGGTCATTGATCCGGGAAAAGTCGAGATGGTAATGAACATGTCCAACGGGATGTCATGGTATATGTCCCATGTCTTGTCAAGAATCAAAGAGATTGAGAGAAGACTTTTGTAACACCCTGTTCCTAATCATTTCCTAATGTGGGGTCGTGACCCGAAGACCGGTTATCATAAGGCTTAGGGCCTTTGAGAAAGAGAGATTTAGACCCATTTGGGTGTAGATAAGGTAGGATAGATGATTTGGGAATTTGGTTTGTGATTTGGAGCCCAAGGGTATAACCGTAAAGTGGAAGTCGGACTTTTTATGAATTTTGGATTTTTGTTCGGAACGTTTTAAAGCAAGGACGAGTTGATAGAAGTGTAGAGCTTCTCATTACCTTTCTGGGGATATAAGGATCGCCGAAAACGGACTTAGAACGAAGAAGTTATGGCCTTTGAAAGCTTGGTGGTTCAAGGGTTAAACCTAGTACGCGGGGCGTACATAAGTGTACGATGGGCATACTAGTGTTGAGCCTAGTATGTTGGGCGTACATGGGAGTACGCGGGGCGTACTAGGAAGATTGGTCAAGGATGCTTAAGGGAGTACACAGGGCGTACCATAAGTACGCAGGGCGTACTCCAGTCAGACCCAAACCCTAATTTAGGGTCTTGGAGCCTATTAAAGCTCTTTAACTCATCACTAAAGCCTATTATCTTCAGCCTCCATCCCCTTAAACCCTAGAAATGAAACCCCAGCCTCCGTTGGTGTGGTTCTTCAGTTTTTGGTGGTATTTCATGCATTTTGGTGCTCATAGAAGAAGAAGGATCTTCTTGGAGAAGTGTTGGATTGCTTGGATCTTGTGGATCCAGGCTTAGTGCATCTTGAGAGGTAGGATGAATCCTACTCACAACGGGTAGTCCTTTGTGGTCCCTGAGATGAAGTAGAGGCGCCCTGTAGCTCAGCCAATCGACGCTCGGCTGCGATCACTCTCTCCTCGAGAGCCACATGCCTCTCCTGATATTCCCTTACCTCCGCTCGAGTGGTGGTAAGGTCCTCAATGAGTATATCCACGGGATAGTAGTCTCTCTCCAAATATCGAGTCCGCACGTCTGTGACCTTTGCAACGACTCCCAACTCCAGAACGCGGTTTGTTGTTTCCCTAGTCTGGTCACCAAGGTCCGTGATCCGCTGGATCATGACTGGGAGGGCTCTGTCGGCCGGTCCTCCTTGGCTGAGATTATAGTAACCTCGTTGCATACCAAAAGGCGAGCGTTGGCGCTGGTGGCGGCTCCACCTCTCTAGGTCTTCCGCTCAGCGGGGCGTATGTCCGTTGTAGCCTAAACGGTGTGCAGGGACTCGTGCGACGTAAGGAGGGTTTATGACTTCGGACTCCGCATCCGATTCTGTTGGGTTTTGAGCATTCTAACACTCCTAAGTGTACATGCAACCCTAAATACCTTGGATCTATGTTTTCTCTATTATACATGCAAATATGAACTTTCCAAGGTATTTATCCTAACTAGCATAATAACATTGATTCATATGAATATATCAAGTTAGAATTACATACCTCTTTGATGTAGAATGACTTCATGAAGCTTGAGTGCCTAGTGCCCCAAGTATGACACCTCAAATGGTTCACACAACACCAAATACACTTGGAATAACTTGAGAGAATTGGAACACTTCATCAAATCGGCTAGCCCTTTCTATCACACATAGCCGCTGATTTTGGTGAATAATATGATGCTTATATAGTATGTTACAATTAGGGTTACACCATGTAAACCCTAATTGTCATGACCTTTCATTTCCATGACCCATGGGTTAAGTAACCTCCATGGAGCATCCATGGAGTATCCTATGGGTTTAACCCAACTTGATTATCCATGGAGCTTTGGCCCACTATATAAGTTATGGAAGATTTACACAATTAACCCATATATTTAATTAGTCTTCTTTTGATCACATAATTAATTCTAAATTAATTCTTGATCAATACTAATTAAATATTATTATTCTTATTATTAATATATTAGAACTAATAATATATTAATAACCATACGTGTCTTATTTCTCTCATTTAGTCTATCCAAGTGCATGATGCCATGCAACCCAAATGGACCATGCCTGGTCGGGTCAAGTACATACCAAATATAGTTATGGACTTAGACACTAATCCAACAGATTCCTCCTCTTCCTCTTCCTCTTTTTCTTCCTCCAGCTCTTCTTCAAACTCTTCCTCTGGCTCCTCTTCCATGATCTCCTCGGGATCCTCCTCAAGATCCTCCTCAATCCACCCTCAATACCCCTGGTTGGGGAAGTAGGGGTCTCCTGGGTTGTGGAAACCTGCCATCGTTCCTGTACGAGAATATAAGTACGAGAAATACATGAAAGGTTTATAATGTGCTAAAATACTCCTATAGTATTTTAATTCTTTAGGTTCGGTTCTTAGAGCTTTTTGGTATAAGGTTGGTAAGTTTTAGATTTGTTGTCCACCACGACCACTCCTAACTGTCTAAGTTTACCCTAGATATGATTACATAACTGTCTAAGTTTAATCGCGATGTCCAACTCTTCTAAATACTTCTTATTATAACATTATTTCTAATATGCATGCATGTATGTACACTTTTATAAATTACTTATATTTTTAAAATATACTTTTAGTCAAAGTGTTTTAGTCCCATTTATTTATAGTTGTATATCTTGTATGGTTTGATATACTAGTTCACTATAAACAATGCTCTTATACAAATCTGTCACACCCCCGAACCAGGACGGCGGAAACGTCTAGGGGCGGATGACGTCATTGTTTAGTATCATAACAGTTGAATGTAAATGAATCATAGCAACCTAAACATCATACATTGAGAATACAAGTTTACATAGTTTTTCTTACACACTGTGTTTCTTCAAAAGTAAACATCAAATAACTGAAATGTAGAAATCCATGATTCTGCAACTCCTGTTCTCAAAAGATTTGGATACTTGTTTACTGGTTCCCTTAGAATACAAGTGATTTTGAAAAGCGTCAACAATTAAGTTGGTGAGTTCATAAGCATTTTTGAATGGAAAGGGTTTGTAACTGTTTTGCTTAAAATGGTTTTGTATACTTCC